ATAACATTGCAATGATGTTGTATGGTGACTGCATTTATTGTGGTGAGCACTGAGTAATGCATGAAATTGTCACATCACTATGTTGTACCCCTGAAACTAATATAACACTGAATGTCAACTGTACTTCTGTAATAAATAAAGGAATGCAAAAAGACAGCCCACAGAATGAGGGGAAATATTTGTAAATCATTTATCTGATTTGTATCAGGAACTTACATCAAGAAATACAAATAAATCTTACAACTCAAAAATTTAAAAAAAAATTTTTTTTAAATGGGCAAAAGATGTGAATAGTTCTCCAAGGATGATATACAAATGGCCAATAAACATATGAAAAGATGTCCAAGTCACTAGTCATCAGGGAAATGCAAATCAAAACCACAATAAGATACCACTTCACAGTCACTAAAATGGCTAGAATCTGGGGGGCCTGGGTGGCGCAGTCAGTTAAGTGTCTGACTCTTGATTTCGGCTCAGGTCGTGATCTCAGGGTGGTGAGAGTGAACCCTGAGTTGGGCTCCACGCTGAGTGTGGAGCCTGCTTGATTCTCTCTCTCCCTCTCCCTCTCCTTCTGTCCGACCCCCTCCCCCATGCACTCTCTTTCTCTCCCCCCAAAAAATAATTTTAAAAATGGCTAGAATCAAAAAGTAAGATAATAACAAGAGTTAGAAAATCTGTGGGAAAACCCTCACACACTACTGGTAGGAATTTAAATGGTGCAGCTGCTTTGGAAAACAGTCTGGCTGGTCCAAATGATTAAACATAGAGTTACTACATGGCCCACCTAATCCATTCACAGGTATAGAGAAATGAAAACCTATTCCACACATAAACTGTACATGAATATTTGTAGCAGCATTATTCATAATAGCAAAAGACAGAAACAACCCAAACATCATCAATGGACAAACAGATCAACAAAATGTAGTATACTCATACACTGGAGTATTATTCAACCATAATTCTACAAAGATAGAAAGCAGATTAGTGGTTGCTTAGGCCTGGGAGTGGGATAGGGTGATAGGTGGCTCATAGCTAAAGGGCTTGAGGTTTCTTTTTGAGGTAATGAAAATATTCTAAAATTGACTATAGTGATGTTTGTGCATAACTATGAATATAACAAAAAAAACCAGAAGTGTACACTTTAAATGGGTGAATTGTTTGCTATGTGAATTATATCTCAATAAAGCTGTTTAAAAAAATGTAATAAGGGCGCCTGGGTGGCTCAGTTGGTTAAGCGACTGCCTTCGGCTCAGGTCATGATCCTGGAGTCCCGGGATCGAGTCCCGGGATCGAGTCCC